GCAAAAGGGAGGATGCCAACTTTCACCATCTCCTCAGCTGGGGCTGAGAGGAGAAATGAAAATCAGTATTGTTATGTACAATCAAATTCTAAATTATGCTTAAGCAGTAATCCTTCCTTTCATCCCTAAAAGTGTGCTGAGATCTACTCATTAATTTGGAAATATATAGATTCAGAATTGTGGAGGCCAAGAGAGGATGATGGAGAAGGGTAGCATTTTTCCAATGGCAAAAAGAAAACGTTGCTGAGACCTGATGTGGAAGAAGTACCAGCCTGAGCATCACAGCTGACTTAAACACCATTCAAAGGGCAAAAAGCTGTGAGATCAGCAGTGCTAAGTCACATCCACATCTTCAGATTATCTAGTTTAAAACAAAACATGGCTACTCATTGTGGTTAACACCCAGAGCAATGCCACCACCACCAATCACTGCAGTTTCTCCAACTCTGGGTGGCAAACTTCTCACCAGGAAAGCCATAGCAGACTGGCCATCTTTGGACTTAAAGCAAACAGTTTTCTGTTCTAACCTGAAGACATGCGTGAAGACACATTTTGGATGACATCCTAAACCACAGTTAATCCCTATATGAGGCTCAAGAAACACAGCCCTCCTGCAGCCCTATGCATTTGCCTCAGCATGGGATGGCTGTCTGAGCTCAGCTATACACTAACACCTTACATTCTTCACTCCAAGGCAGTAAGAAAGGAGTATTTCTTGGTGCTGGGATTGGTACTAAGCCCCTGCTCTTCCTTGTTACCATCTACATGCACACGCAAGAGAAAGAGCGTCCTCCTCCATCCAGCAAAACACCAGTGACCTCCAGTTATGAGCCTCATCCTTCTGCATCTGGGCAGCAGCATTTTTAGATGGGTGATGAACAGGTTTGTTGGAGTGTTATGCTGTTAAATACAACCTAATGTTCGTGCATATAAAGAAGTTGGAAAAAATATGCAAAGGTCTGCATGAAGTATCATGCAACCTCTCAAAGGCCAAAGCTCTCCCTAATACTCCTCTCTTTTTATATTCAGTCTACTTATCTTTCCCCCTCTGAAGGGGATGAAATAAAAGAGAAGAACTATAAATCTAGAAGAATCCCCAAAGCCTTCTGAACCACCCCCCTCCCCCAAACCAAATCTATTCCCTTTCTCCTCTAGGTCTGGTCTGGAAAAAACAGAAAACTTAGGAAAAATTGCAGGGGGGGGGGGGGAAGAGTCTCATGAAATATTTTCTTTAAGATTAAACAGTGAAATACTGTCAGGCTGCTGTTTAAAATCCTATTATTTTTGCTGTGCTTCAGTTCTTCCCAATGTTCTCTATATAATAAGCATTCCAAATGAAATTAAATTATTTTAAAACACACTGTAGTAGGCTATTACAATTCCTGAATACTAAATGCCAATATAACATGGGCCAGATTTATTGTTGTTCCTTAACTTTGTGCCGTGTTCATTATATTTTAATGAATAAGGTTTCACATTAATTTTTCAAGCCTTTTCTTTGGAATCACGCATTACACTGTAATTGCATTGCAGAATTAGGTCTCTATTTACATTCTCCTCCTAAGTCCTGGCAATGAAACCTTCCTTTGATTTTTCTCCCCTAAGTCAGCAACATCTCCTCTTCCTCCTGTTTTCAGGAGAGTGCCCCAGGGCCAGTAGTGCAGTGATGTTACCTCCCCTCTCTGCTGGCAGGCAAGGCAGGGCCATTCCAGCGACAACCACCGCCTGGCAAACCTAGGAGATTAAAGCAGAAGCAGAGTTTTTGGGGGACCACAGCAGCATCTCTCAGTCCAGTTGTACCTGCCTGGCTGTGATGACCCCTCAATGGTACCTTAGGTTGACCTCCTCTTCTGCTGCCCTCCCACTAGGATTGTATCCAGCATCCCACTTCCCCCAGTTTTCTCTAACCTCTGTCACTGCTCAGGGAGATGCAGCTAACCTAAATGGTCTTTTCTAATAGGAAGACATCATACATGAAGAATCGAAGGGAGCTGAGAACTGAGGGCCACCACATGTAGGGCAAGATGAAGGCACCACAAGATGCAAGGCTTTTCATCTTGTGAATCCATTTTCCGTCCGGACCATAGTGCAAAGAAACGTAAGAAGACTTGAGCTGAAACCCAGGTGCTGGCAGTAAACTGGGCCCATTTGCCAGCTGCCATCTTACAGGGCACAGATTTGATTTCCTGCTCTCAAAGCCTCCAGCAAGTCAGCAGCCGGCTATGCCGCTGCATGGAGGATGCTGGGCAGAACTGAGAGCAAGGGAAGCCTTTTCTCTGCATGCAGGCACTTGTTAATTCTAGCTGTTCCCTGTACTTGCAATGCTTTAATTATTAATGTTGATAAACTATCACAAATATCAATTAGAATTGCTTTTTTGGGGGCTTTTTGTCTTTTTTTTTTTTTCCTGAGACAAAATTAAATTGCTTTATTGCAAGATCACTCTTTGCCCTTGTTTTTTGTACTCTTTTGAAGAGAACAGAAATGAAGTCCTGGCTCCTGAACCCAGGACACTGGGATATTGCAACTGGTGGAACATTGAGGACTCATACCCAGGAACTGCCTCCTCTCTTGGTCCAGTAGTCCAAGCTTCTGTCCTTGCCACCCACTCCTGGATGCTATCTCCTCCTCTTCTTCACAAGTGCTATCCTCTTAATTCCCTCCCATCCCCAGAGAGTCTCCCTCATCACCTTTATTCATCCCCGCATGAGCAGGGGCTTCTAGATACCTAACCCTTCCCTCATACCCCACATTCTCCACACCAGAGCTTGCCATATCCTTTTTCCTCTTAGTAACACCACTTCTAAAGCTCTCCATACCCCTCACACCACCGGGCTAACGATAAATCCTCCTTTGCTTACACTCTCCCCACCAACGTACTCTAATCCCCAGGTGTTCCCCGCTGGCTTTTCCCCACTACTCAGGGTTTCTGCCCCCGCGCTGTGGTTTTCCAGCCTCCCTCTATGGCAGAGGATCTGCTATAATCTCCGGGTCACAGCCTCTGCTGATGCCAGAGACAGATACACAAGCACTGAGCAGGAGTAAACCCCTTTGTACCTCCCACCCCTCCACTTTCCTTACATTTCACAACCTTCTCCCCAGATTCATGGGGTTTTGAGCACCGACACGCTGCGCCTCCCTCCACATTTCACAACTCAGCTTTGAACTCTGCACCGCACTGCTCCGCAGCAAAGATTTCTACTCAGCTGAGCATCAAACCTTGCAAGCTTTGCCAATTACCACTCCTCCTACTGCTTCTTCTCTGACATGCGTCTGCTTGCAGCAGCTGGGGAGGCACTCTCGACGGTTGTCCAGAGGGCTTTCTGGAGACCTACCAGCATGCTGGAGGTGCCAACCTCTCTGACAGCTGCATCTAACTCCTACTGATGCGCTCTTTCCTTCGAGTTGGCCACCCTGAAGAGTGTTTTGCCTGTGTATGCAGTCAACAGATACACAGAAGACAAACCCTACTAACCAAGTGTTTGAATCTAAGCTAGGACTACTTAGGGATGAGAGATTTCTGGGAATCAAATTTAAAAGGGGGAGAGGGAGTAGTAAAGGAGTCTGGTTTCATACAGAGGCTCAAAAAAATACAGGATGAATTTTAAAAAGTAATCCTGAAATATCCCTAGATTTACTCATTTATTAAAACACAACCATACGTACTTCTAGAAAGAGAGCTGTATCGTACATAATTTAGTTTGGCACACAGACTGCAGTGTTGTGTGTTTCATGAGCGTGAAGTAAATAAGCATAAATTACTTAATTTGAATAACACCAAACACCTGATACCAGAGGCAGTGCAACCCTTCACACTAAGGCATGTAAGTGCTCTTGGCTTGTTGATGTTTCATGAAAGCAGAGAAAAATTAGCAAGCTGAAAACAGAAAATCGTTTTGTGGCTTGCTGACAAACATCCATGATGCACCCACATGGCTCATGAGCAACAAGCAAACTGAGGCCTGCCAATAGGATGGAGCTACAGAGAAGACTCCCATTGCCACAGAAAGCACCAGGAAAATGAACATGAGATCCCTGTGCATGATCTTTATGATGACGGTACACACGGGATTCAGTATTAAGAACAGCAGTAAGCTGGGTGGCCTGTATCTTCATAGCTCTGAGTCCTTTCAGTTGCTCCCCAAAATCTCATAACAGATCTCAGGAAAAAAATACTTGACACTATTCCTGACAGACCTCAGAAAAAAAACACCCTATTTTTGTCTGAATGTTTCTTTTTTTCCCCACAAATTGCTTCATATCTCTAACCATACCATAAACATGTGATTGGAAGGCTTTCTCTTAATAAGTTTAAAAAAAGGCACTTCTCCACATCATGAGGATTCACATGGCTTTTGCCTCCTACAACTCCTTTGTGCTCAAACCAAAGCTTTTGGATTTTGACAGATATCACAGATTCTCACATTTCTTAAAAAGCATTTTGATTAATAGCAAATAATTTATCTTCCAAGGGCAAATTCCTTTGGTGCACATTTCAGTTGTGGTTCTTTCCTGTGCTAGAACTGAGAAGGAAAGGCAGGGTGAAGGATCTTAACACAGGTGGAACTAACTCCACTTTAAATCTGTGGCAATATTTCCTTCACTTACTGTAGCCTTCAGCTTTTTGCCTGCCCATCTCAAAACAGGCATCCCAGTGAAACGAGATAGGACACCAATATAACAGACATTTGTAAGTCTGGCCAAGCTGTGAGGTGCTCTCAAACACAGCAGAAAGAGAATGAAATAAAGCATCTTCCACCTTTAAAAGTGAGAGCAGTGTATGCAAACGAGTCATAGGCGTTGTTATGAGACTGCACGAGACTCCTTTCCTCCTATGGCTTCAGCTTCCAAACTAGCCATGGAACATAAACACAGCCTCAATGTCTCCTTCAGCATCACATGTGCCCCCTCATCTCTTCTCCATATAACCTGGCAATGCAATTGACTTTGCTTTACTTTGAGGAAGGAAACCCAGACATTATCAACAGCCTTGTACTTACTGAGTTCAGCAATGCTCCCCACACGAGTAGCAAGTAAAGACTGCTCGATGGTCCTCAGCTCTGACTGGCTGAACATCTGCACTTCCCCGGGCTTGTTTGACCTTTGCTGGTCTTTGTGAAGGTTCAGGCTGTCTGGCAGGCAGAGAACACCTACAGTGGATAAAAAGAAAGGAGAAATCCATTGTCATTTCAGCCACTATGGATGACTTGGCTGCCACCACCACATCACTTTAGGGACATTCCAAGACACAGAGTATGTGTGCAGAGCTCAAGGACAGTCAACATCTATAACTCAATGTCCTAGATGACTCATGTTCTTGGAAGTAGCCCTTGTTAGCTCTTCTGAATATCCTTAAGTCACTTACAATGTCAATTAGTGATAATTCTAAGGAAAATCCTAGAGAATTGCCCAAGGACAATATCAAGAGGATTCCAAAGAAGCCTCCTAGAAACTACTCGTAAATACAAACTTATTAGAAAATGGTATCTCAGCAACACAATTCTTAAAGATTGGCTTTAAAATTATAAGACAGATGACACAGTTACAGGATTCTCCTCTAAGAGAAATTACATCAATTGCCAAAATAATGGACAGTGTCAAGATGCTCACAGTGTCATTGATGGGCATATTGAATTTCTCCTGTAAATACAACTCCTGACAATTGAGCTGCTTGGGCTTCAAAACCACATTATGCAGAAGCCCTTACAGCCGTGAATTTTTGTGGGGCAGGGCATAAATAAAGCTACGGACATATAATAATTTGCATACACATTATTCAGGCACAAAAGTCACTTTCTACCACAATATCTAAACCCTCAGGCGTAGATAGAGGGCACACATTTATTAATCAAAATCACTGTCATGCTGAATAACAGAACTTATTTACAAGAGCGAACACTGCATTACCATCCTTGGGTAACAGACACATGGAAGTCCAGCTTGGAGAGTAAGCTCTCCTCCCTTCCTGAGGTTTGTGAACAGTCAGCTATGGCCATGCTCTTCACAGCATTGCCTTCCCAATCCCTCTGGGACACACACAGGTGGAGACCCACTGGAGGCAGTGGAACTGTACCTCTTCATGATGATTAAATTTCATTGTATCTCTGATTCTATGACATGCAACAAATACCATTGAAAAGAAGCCATAATAGGAAAAATATGTTTTCCATTAGCTCTTTCTATTCCCACCTTTTAAGCACAGGGCAGAAGTTCTGCCCTTATGGGCCAAGCAGACTTTACAAAATATGTTAAGAAAGGGATACCTGTTTAGTGGGTTTTTTTTTCAGAGGGAAGAACTTGTTTAGTTTGCCAGGTCAGCAAATATATGGCATCTAACTCTACCAATCAAGGGTTCTACCAATAGATATAGCATTCAGGTCCAGTGGAGCATGGCTACCTTAACCTGTTTACCTCAGTTATGTAACTGCTCCACAAACCTCACTGCTTTGGAGCACTGCAAGACCAGGCAATGCACCCGAGAGGGGATGCTTCTCAGACACCTTGTTAGCTCCACCAAACCTGCTTTGGATTCCCTCCTCACATACACCTCCTCCATGCAAACAGTTTAGCCTAAAAGTTTTATTGGCAGCACAGACCTAAAAACACCCATCCTGAGAGGAGTGAGGTGATGCAGGTTTAGTAAGCATGTTCAAACCAAAAAGCAGGTGTATACACTGGGAAAATTTGGACCAATTGTCTTGTCCACCATGGCCATGAGACAGCAACCTAAACCAGAATCATCTGATGAGCTGGCAGTGAGCGCTCGCAGCCCAGAAAGCCAACCGTATCCTGGGCTGCATCAAAAGGAGCGTGACCAGCAGGTCGAAGGAGGTGATCCTGCCCCTCTGCTCCTCTCTCATGAGACCTCACTTGGAGTATTGTGTGCAGTTCTGGTGTCCTCAACATAAAAAGGACATGGAACTGTTGGAACAAGTCCAGAGGAGGGCCACGAGGATGATCAGGGGAATGGAGCACCTCCCATATGAAGATAGGCTGAGAAGTTGGGGCTGTTCAGCCTGGAGAAGAGAAGGCTGTGTGGAGACCTCATAGCAGCCTTCCAGTATCTGAAGGGGGCCTACAAGGACGCTGGGGAGGAACTCTTCATCAGTGACTGTAGTGACAGGACAAGGGGTAACGGGTTCAAAATTAAACTGAGGAAGTTTAGATTGGATATAAGGAGGATGTTCTTTACTGTAAGGGTGGTGAGGCACTGGAATGGGTTGCCCAGAGAAGTACTGAATGATCCACTCCTGGCGGTGTTCAAGGCCAGGTTGGACAGAGCCTTGGGTGGTATGGTTTAGTGTGAGGTGTCCCTGCTGATGGCAGGGGATTGGAACTTGATGATCTTAAGGTCCTGTCCAACCCTAACTATTGTATGATTCTATGATTCTGTGCACAACAGCAACACCAGAACAAATTCCCTAATAGCCTATTTGAAATGCTAGAGATAGAAGAGCAGGAGCAGCCGCTATCCCAGCCCTGGCTCTGATCCCAGGCTTGTAACAACTACAGAAAAACCATATTAATGTGTGGAAGGTCACGAGAGAGGAACACGACCCGTGAGGAAGCAGCCTGCAGAGAAAGAGCAGGACATCTGACACAGCAACAGGGAGGAAAATTAAACACAGAGAGGTAAGGGATAAAAGGCGACAACAGCTTATCAAACAAGCTCTCCAAATCCTCCTGCCATTGCTCAGTGGCTGACTCGCATAAACACTTGGTGCACTGATCAACATTTATATTCTGGGAAGGTACAGAGCTTGAGGAATACAACACCTGGATTTAAAATGCAGACCTTATCATATATTGTAGTAAGTATTCTCTCTCGGAAATCCTTCTCATTTATGTAGATCATTCTTTATAATTTTAATGGATAGAAATTAAGACCAAATTGGAAGAGTCTTCCCTGCAGAAAACAGATATGTAAATGACCTAATATATTTTAAGACATTTCTGAAACCAAGAAATACAGCACAAACACATTTCTGGCATCTTTAAAAAGCAAGTAGCCAAGAAAAAAATCTTTTTCAATGAAAACACACGTTAAGCATGGAAAAAATATTTGCTTAAGATACCTTTTTAATAGTAAGATTCAAGTGGCTTAAATCATATGGCTTTAATCTCATGCAGAGATTTCTCCAGGAAGTGGCATATAGACATATTTAATCTCTACTTTGTCTACGACTCTTCCCACAGCCAGGCTTTTCCTTACAAACAGCCCTGATGATTAATTACTCTGTTCTTTAGTGAGGGGAAAATATTCTCAGGTTTTTGGATGAAAAGTGAAAATGAAATGTAAAATCTATCACTGTTAGAAAACTTAACAAATTATAGGATGTCACACCAAAGGGGTTTACTTGGGTTGGAGGTTAAAGACATGCAATAGCCAAACATCTGATACCTAATACACTAGCTTCAAAACTATAATTGACCACAGTAGGTGACCAGTTCTCATGACTGTTCTGGATCAGATGTGGGTTTTGCCAGTATGGAGAAAGGGAATTCTACGGTTTGGGCATGCAGCTCTGCCAATTTTCCAGCTTCAACTGTTTTCCCCCCAAATTAATAAAAAGCAGTGAATGAAATGCTTTTTAGAGCAAAAAACTCATTCTCTTTTATCAGTGTTTGACGTAAAGCTCAAATTCACCAATGAAAGGCTACGGCAGGGAATTGCTCCTTGGCAAGAAGATAGCATGCCAAATCAAAGTGGAAGGGGAAAAGGTAAGAACTGTGCGATTATAAATATCTTTTTTATAAATATAAACGTTTTAATAGCCACCACCAGCTTCCACTGGCTTGGCTACAGTTCAACTTCCTTAGTTTAATTCTGTGACAATCAGTATTATCCACTTGCTTTTTCAGCAGTGTCTTCAGCCATCCTGCGTTGAACTAGACAAACACACGAGGACTTCAAATTTCCAGTGGCCTGAAGAAAAGGGTGTTTTACCCCTTGCTTTCCCATCTGTCACTGCTGATGCTATCTGTCATTTTACACCAAAGATGTCTGTGAAGTATCTTCAGAAATGAAAGGCAGTTATCTGTCTTTTCCCTCCGCTGTTCAATGTCCTTCCTTTCTGCACGGTTACTCAAGCTTGTGCGCTTCTTTGCCCATTATTTTATCCCTCTTATTCTCTCTGATTCACTAGAGTGGAAATTAAGCAGCCAGTTGCTGCCCAACAAATATAGGGCCAGACTCACTCAATACGCCCCTGGCTGCTCTGTGCCACCAAGCAATCTACAGCAGCCATACGTTGCATCTGTGACTGCTGTGAATCACCGGAGCAAGGCAAGACAACCAAAGCGTTCAAGTGTATTTGGATTTTTGTCACCTCTTTCACTGCTTCCCCATGTCTGTACCCTCCCTGGGGCAGGGATCTGTCTAGGACTTGTCTGCAAGGAGACATTCAGAATGGACCATACTCAAAATTGTTTTATTCACTTTGCCCTTGGCCTCAGGGTACCCTGCAGCCTGTAGGTAAAAGACTGAAGAGAAATGCAGAGAATACATCTGAAAACCAGCAGGATGCCAAGAAAAAATAAAATCACAGTGACAAGCTCCTAATGCTCCCCCTCCCGAATCTCTAGAGACAAACAACAGCATAGGAAAAATCTGATGTACAATTAATAGACTCCACATTTTTCCTGCCCCTTGGGCTAACCTGAAACACAAGCCAGAACTCAGTCCCCAAGGACTTAAAAAAATCCCAAATCAAACAAGTATTGCACAAAATAACAAAGTGAAGACTGATAATGCCCAAACACATAAAAGCAGCAGTTATTTTAAACCTTCATGCAAACTCACCCAAAGCCAGGGTACATGGTACCTCTATTCCAGTTTCCTCATGCACATATCAACCTCTTGGGCTTGGTTGATGCACCACCCTCCACTACAAGGCAGATTTTGGCACAAATACACACACATTCTTGCATACTCATTTCAGACCTTGCCACGGAGCTGTCTATGCTGTCCTTGCAGCGTGACAGAAGCGTGCATGGATAATGCAAACATCCCAAATTCGGGACCTGGCAGCAGCCCTGTCAGAGCTTGAACATTCTCCTCAGCATCTCCCCAGCAAAACAGCCTGAAGGACCTGAGGGACCAGAGCAATTCCAACATCTGATGCAACAGCGGTTATGTGACCCCTCTGGC